TGTGGGTTCTTAATTTTTTTTTATTATTATTCCTTGAGTTTTTGCTGCTTTATTCCCACATTTCAGCGCTGCTGGTTAAAATGTTCTGCACAAATCTTCTTGCTCTTCAGGGTGATTTCAGATTATGCCCTGATAATATTTCTTCAACTGTATTTGTCTTCATGTAATGCATAGCTGGTTTAGACAATTAGATATATACATATATAAAGTCTGAATTTCTCAGTGTGAGGAAATCTTGTGGAATACTTTAAATAATAATTGCTGCAATTTTGAAAGGAAAAAGTTACTCATAAATACCATCTTTACTTCCATGTGTACCTATTTTTATTTAGTCTAATGCCAGTCATATTACTATGGTAGAAGTAAGTTGTTGGGTTTTCTTTGTTGATCTCCCCACCTAAAAGAAGTCATTATCTTAACTGAAGAGCTTATATATATGGTTCAGCATTAAGCTGTAAGCTTTTATTTCACACAACTTTTTTTGGTTTGTACTAAATGAATTTTAAAGAAAGCATTTAAATGAGAAGACAAGAGAGTTTGGTTAAAGTAGAATTAAAGTCTAACATTAGCAGAATAAATAGTATAAAGCCAAAAGTGTGTGAAGGGGTGCATAGAGGGACCTTTTGACTAGCAAACTCTTTGGTATCTGTGACAGATTTTTTTGGGATTAAAAATGAAGTGGGCTTTCCTGGTTCATTTGTTTTCCTTTAGCATGTCTCTACGATTTAGAATGGGAAAACTTGACTTAAGAAAAAAATAACAAAGCAAATTAATTTAGAGAGTTGCATTTTTAAAATTATTTCTATTTTTAAATATGTGAGCTTTTATTTCCTTCATTTATGCTGTATATAGTAACTAAACCTGGGTAAGCAGAAGTTAGTGCCACTATTTGACCTGGAAAACAATTGGATAGGGAGGAACAAGAACCTTCATAGTAGCATGGAAAAGAAGGTCTTGTCCCTAATATGGAGGCAGTATAGTGCCTGTCCTGTGCCTTCTATCATTAAAGAACTCTTTATAATAGAAAAACACAGGACAAGAATTGTGCTGTAAAGTTTTGTGGGTTTGGTGTTTCCGTGTGTATGTCCCCCAAAATAATGAAGTCTCAAAATAAGTGCTGACAACTTAAAAAAAAAATATTTACACTACAGAGTAAAAACGCAAAAATGGACTTCAGTTTTGCTGGAACTATGTGTTGAAAAATGGCCCTTTTAATTAAACATATGACCTGTCTCACAACATGTCTTGTCAGTGACATACACTTAATGACCAAAAGATTATTATTTTTTTTGCCATTATTACTGGTTTAAGTGCTATTTGTGGAGAAAATGTGATGGTAAAAGCTAGTTGCTTCAGGCAAACAAAGAACTCCAGCATCACCAATTGCAGTAAATTGCAAGTTTTACTGCAGAAGTATTGAATTCTATGGTTCATAACAACCTGGCTTCAATTTGATATGTCAACTGTTTAGCTTACGTATTTTGAAGTTATCATATTCCATATTCCCTGCTTTCTTGTGAAGAATTATTATGCTGTTTTGTATAACATTTTGAAAGCTTAAAAAAGCAAGACCTGGAAATATAATTGAAAAGTTATGAGGGTTAGGTTATGAAATCATGGAACCTTCTACTTTACATTCTGTCATGCAGGATATGGGAATTACCCAGTGGCAATTGTTCTGCTGTGTTGAAACTCACATTTGTACAATGCTGATCCATGAGAGTTGTGACAGTGAACAAATTCTGCTAAAACTTATTTACAAAGGTGCCAAGTGAATGAATACAACTGGTGACAGCCCCACCTCAAAGTAAAAGGGAGAGGCTGATGGACAAAGCACTTCATTCTGTATCAGCAGGAAGATGTTTGCAAGCAGGAAAGGAGCTGAGTATTGTCAGAAATAAGAAATATTCTGCTTTCAAAGCACAAAGTAGCTTTGCTCAGATGATTGAGTTTGTTTTGGTGGTATAATAAATCCATCTTTCAAATATGTACCACTAGACCTCTGCAGCTACAGAAAGCAAAGGGCTAATTGGCTGCAGCCTCCAAAACTATACTACCACTTAAAAAACCCAACCCAACCCAACCCAACCCAACCAACCAACCAACAAACAAAACCCAAACAAAAAAACCAAACAAACAGAAAACACCAACAACCAGCAAGCAAAGAAATAGATTTGAACTGGTAATAATTTTCTGTTAACCACAGGAGCACAGTCAATATCAAGTCTAGCACAAGGTTGGTCCAGATGAAATATGTACTCCTGAATGTTCTTACATGGCACAACACTGGTATTGTTGCTCAGGATCAGAGTCAGAATATGAAATATGAGTACCACGGTCCTATTAAATAAATGAATACATACATACATAAATAGAGGAAAAAGAACAGGTGGTTTCTTTGGAGGACCAAGCAAGAAAAGAAAAGATGGCTGCGAATGAGGATGGAACATGCAGCTCCCACTTGGTGCCATTAACAGCCTCACAAGTTAGACACCACTTTGGATTTTGAATGAAGAGAAAAAGAGCTTGGAAGTGGACTACAAGAAGGCACAGTGTTATTCTGGCTTGGCAAATCTTAGTTACATTGTCAAACTCTATTGCTCATCACAGACTGAAGGTTATGGAAGGTGGACTCTGACTGTGGGCACTTCGTAAGTTTCACCCAAAAGCAAAAACACTTGAGATAAACAAAGATGTGGAGTAGCAGTTGTAGCTTGCAAAGAACAATGCTAAGCACACTGTGTGTGGCTTGGTACAACACAAGCCCAGACAAATTCTAGAGTTTGCAGTGATACGCAAGAATTGCAATAAATTGCATCACTTTCATAAAAGTTTGCCAGCACCCAGCTTTCATGGCACATGCAGTAGGGTGGTATAGTAGCATTAGTGCTGAAGAATAATTTTGAGATGAGACAGACAATGTTACACCAGAAGATAGTCTTTTTCTCAAACAGTGTGTGTTTGGTGAAGAAAAAATTACTATTTGGATATAAAGTAACAGCTTTCCACAAAACTCAAAGGTGTGCTAAAATGTGGGTGGGGTTCTGGTTTTGCTTTTTTCGTGGGTTTTGTGTTTGTTTGTTTCGGGGGTTAAGTTTTTTTATTTATTTGGGTTTTTATTTGTTTTTCTAGTTCTCGCCTGTAGGTATGATTTTAGGTAATTCCTAGAAGAGGAGCTACAAAGACTTATTACTCTGATTCTCAAAGGGAATGCGATTTGGTGGTGGTTAATGCCATAAGACATGGCACTTGTTTTCTCATGGCTCCTTTTGATCACTGCTGTATTACTATTTTCTGTTTCTTTTCTTTTTTTTTCCTCACCCACTAGAGTATAGGAATTATAATTGAAAGCTTTTTATGTAGTTGGTGCTTTAAATATTTCTTGGATGGTCTCTAGTGCCTCTAACTGCATCAGAAAGTAGCTTCTTCTTCAGTAGTGGCACTACTCTGGCTGTCTTTCTGCTACCTGGACAGCTACCTTTTTGAAAACCTGTAAGATTTCACTGGTTTTAAAATTCCTAGTTTTCTGTAAAAGAAGTATTTGAAATTCAGCTTGAAAGATTAAGTGTCAGTGGGTGATACACAAGCTTAAGAAAGATCACAGTTGAACAGTTCTCTTATATTTGCTGTTATTTGCTTTCAGGTATATGGTGTTATTCTGTTGTCGTGGTTGTCCTGTGCAGGCCAGGAGATCTGATGATCCTGGTGGGTCCCATCCATCTCAAGTATTCTGTGATTATATTCTGTGATTCTATGGTTGTGCAGAAATTGTTTGAAAAAATATTTATCTATAATTAGGAGAATTCCAGGCTTTATTTAGGCCCTTTTTTGGAGGGTAGAATTAAAAAGAAGAAAATATGACAGCATGATCATCCTTTGGATGACAGTTTTCTGCAGTCTGCAATCCAAATCACATTTGGCATGAAGACTTTTTAAATTATTTTTTATTATTATTTATTATGTGTATTCTGGCCTGGACACTTGAAGTTTTCAGCTGTGTAAAGCACTAGAAAGTGTGGCAAAACTGCAGGGCTACAATTCCAACAGATAAAAAGCAATAATGTAAGAAACCTGAAGATAAGAAAGTGCCTACTGCCATGCCTTCCTTGTGCTCGAAAAGCAGGTAAGTTGTCCTGGAGACAGTGAAGGCAACTTAAGGAAAATGTCACTCAATTTAGTAAACTCTGCCTTAAGTAAGAGGGGATATTGCTCCTGAAACACATCCTGCCTAGGTAGCATTACATAGCACAGACACAAGGTGTGGGGCATTGGTGCTTAAGGGCTCAGCTGCTGCAGTTGGTCACGCCAGGCTTCTCGCACCTAAGCCATGCCGCTGATGCTCCAATGCGGAGCTATAGGGTGATGGAATGCGGCTGCAAAGGCTGTCCTTGCTAACGCCGTCCCAACACAGCCAGACACCCCAATAAAATATGATGCACAGACACTCCCTCCAACTCCCAGAAAGAAGGTTGTAGCTATCTGGGGGTCGGCCTCTTCTCCCAGGCAACTAGCGACAGGACAAGACGACAGTGTTAAATTGTGCCAGGGTTGGATGTTAGGAAGATGTTTAGGTTCGATGTTAGGAAGAAATTCTTCACAGAAGGGGTGATAAGATATTGGAATGGACCGCTCAGGTAGGTGATGGAGTCATCGTCCGTGCACACGCGCAGGGAGAGACTGGACGTGGCACTGAGTGCCATGGTCTAGTTTACGTGGTGGTGTTCGATCATAGGTTGGACTCGATGATCTTTTCCAATCCAGTGGATTCTGTGACACGCACTCGCAACAAGTCCCTGCAGGGCCCTGCAGCCCGACCCCGCGCGGCCGTGACACCGGGGGGCCCCGCGGGCCCTTGGAGCAGCCCAGCGCCTCCGACTCGGAGCAAACAGCGCTCCCACTATCCCGGCTTTCCCGGGGGCCGCGCGGGCGGGGCGGGGCGGGGCGGCGCATGCGCCGTCAGCCTTGCTGCGCGCGGGTGGGAGGCGGTGCCGGGGCGGCCGTGCGCGGAGAGGGTGGCGGCAGCGCTGAGCACAAACTCCGGAGGGAAAGCGGCGCTGCCGGTCTCCGCCCCCCGCCCTCCACACACACCCCGTAGCGGGAAGGGGGAAGCGAGCGGCCCGCTCCCCCTCCCCCCCCGGTCCCGGCTGTGCACGGTCCTGCCCGGGGGCTCGGCGGCGGCGGGCGGTGTGCCCGTGGCGGAAGGCGAGCGGCGGGCAGCTGGGGCCTGGAGCCGTCGCTGCAGGAGGGGAAGAGCGGGGTGTTCCCGCGGCGCGGGTGGATGCGCAGCCCGGAGGGCGGCTCCTGCGGCGGCTCCTGCGGCCTCCCCATGGCTGTGCCCCGACAGTGAAGGCAGCGGGAGCCGCCTGTGTCCGCGCCGCGCCAGGAGGCGGCGCCGCCGCAAGCAGGGGGCGGGCGGGGAGGGGGATGAGCAGCGCCGCAGCCGCCGCCGCCTCTGCGGGAGCTGCCGCCGCCTGCGCCGGGGCCGAGCGGGGCTTCTCCTCCTCCTCCGGCGGCGCCGCTCCGGCCATGGGGCCCATGGGGCCCGAGGAGGGCTCGGCCGGCGGGCTGGGAGCCCTGCCCGCGCCGCCGCTGGGCTGCAGGAGCCGCTACCAGCTGCTGCTCTCCGGGAAGGCCCTGGCCGACAGATACCGGCGGATTTACACGGCGGCGCTGAGCGACAGGGAGCTGGGGAGCCACCCGGGCAGGTAACGCGCGCCGCGCTCCCTCCTGGCCCAGACGCGCAGCTCCGGCCGCCACCCCTCCCACCGCCGGCTGGGAGCGGCCCGGTGCGTGCACCTTCCTCCCTGCCGGCAGCCGCCCTCCTCAGCCTCCTCCCCGCCCCCGAGTCGGGCAGCGTGGGTGCTGCCGCTGCCATGTGGCCGCGGCCGCCGCGCCCCGGGGGACGGACGGAGGGGAAGGGGCGGTGATGTAACCCGGCGGCTGCCCAGGTGCCGCCCGGGCCCCGCCGCTCAGTTGGCCGGCGCTGCCGCGCAGATGGCGCTGCCGCCCCTTCTCCCGGGGCCCTCGGGGGGGGGAATTACCTGTACCCTCCCCTCCCGCGGGGGCCGTGGCCTCCGTCCCGCCCTAGTGTGCGGCCCAGCTCCATCCGCCAAGGATGGAGCGTGTCCATGCAGAGATCCCGGGCGGACCTTGCTCCGGCCGGGCCTGTCGTGCCCCGGAACGGGCGGTCTCTCCAGACAGGCTACGCAGGGCACCTGCGGATCCCGCTGCCGGGGTCGCCCGAGCGAGGGCCCTCGGCACCTCCCCATGTGCTGTGGCCGTCTCTAGCTGCCCTGCCTTGTTTTTTCTCCTCCTCTTTCGGTCATCTTCTCTGCCATCGCCGTGTAGGCGGCCTCCGTATCAGGAGGGAGGCAGCACCTTCCCGGGGAAGCCGGGAGGTTGGGGGATATGGTGCCGCCCCACCCAGCCTTCCCCCGGCGGTGGAGCCCCACGGGGCGCCCTTTCTCGGTGCTGCCGGCCGGCCCTGGGGCCGCAGCGGGTTCCTGTTGCTCCTCTGGCCGGGGATGCCGCGCCGCCCTGCCCTGCCTTGCCCCGAGGCGCGCACATGCCCGAATGTCAGGCGGGGCGGAGGTGCGGGTTGTGGCAGTGCGGGGACACGGGGGACGGGGGGAAAGGCGGCCGCCCTTAACCCGCAGCCTCCACCCCGGCCCGGGGGGACCCTCCCGGCCGCGGAGGCCAGGGCGGGGAGACCGGCCGGTGCCCGGTCTGGCGGTTCTGTGCGAGGAGCTCCCTCGTTGTGCCCGGGCGCTGCCCATTGTTTCCCTCCGGAGGTCGCTGAGGATGCGGGTGACACGAAACCGTCACCTTCCTGTGCTCTCAGCCCCTGCTGGCCCATAAGCTGTAATGTGGGTGGCCGGATCGCAAGGGGAGCTTGGAGTCACCGTTGTTTCAGTTTGCAAAGCAGGAGGAGGTTGGCTTGGGTGGCTTCTTCGGGTCTTCTTTTTTTTTTTCCCTGACTTGACAGCAGGGCTTATTTGTCTTCCCACCCCCACCCCTCGGAAAGGCTGTGTCTGGGAGTGAAATTAACATAAGAAACTGGAAGAATAACGTAATTTTCCCGATTTGCTTATGGCAAATGCTGGAAACGTGGGCTGTTATTGGTATTTGAAATATTTACAATTACCGAGTTGTTTTCAGAGTGTATGACAAGGAAACTATAGTTCTTTCTTCCCTTTTGTAGGCCTGTGTTTTCTTACCCCATGTATTCCTCAGTCTGGTGCTAATGCTTTTTCCTTTAATCTTTTCTTCCTGCTTTTGAGCTTTGTATCACTTAAACCTGGGACTACAAGTCCTGAGTGTAAGGATACTCCTAAATGCAAGGAAATCAGCTTTGCAATTGCTCCACAGTGTTCAGATACTTGTCTGAATTTTGCCTTAAGGGGTCTGTATTTTTTAAAGCTGTAATTTTGAATTTGTCATGTACCCTGTTTTTTTTGTTTCAGGATAATTCAACTGGTATCTCTTACAGTTGTAGAAAATGCTAGCTTTAAGTGTATGTAAATTTTAATGCTTCTCTTAATTGATGTTTTTGAGGTCAAATCAAAGAAGCCAGGCTCCTTGTACACAGCAGATAGGTTCTATTAAACTATTGGCAAGTAAATGGCAGATATTTAATACTGGTGAATACAGCCAATGTGCATTGTAGGACTTTCAAGAGGACGAATATTAATAATCATCTAGTTGCTCACTATCACTTGGTACTCACCTGCAATACCTCGTGTCAGACTGATGGCAGCCAAGGTACTGCTCGTGATCTCCACCCTTTCTCCATATTGGTGTGAAAATATTGCAGTTTGAGAACTTCAGCCACCTGGTAGACTTAAACAGAAATGGTCAAAAATGCTTTTTTACAAAAATAGTAGAAATCCCAAACATTTCCTAAAGAGATGCTTTAAAGTTACTTGTGGATGCAGTCTAGTTGCTAGGGTAGATAACATTGCCAGATACATTAATTGGAGGTTAGGATAATACAGTTTATGACAGGAGTCTTAACTTGATTTTTATATTTATGGAAAATCTGAAGCCCCTAATTGGTCAATAAGAGTGTTTGTGACTAGAAAAATATCTTGGAAGTAGCTTAAAAGAACCCCAAACAAATTGGCTTATGAACAGTAATAAAATGTCAAGAAGACTAATTTGAAGAGTGATAGTGCAACATATTTGCTATAGTTGATGCAGAATTTTTTTGCTTCAAGTCTGCAAAATTGTACTCTGCACTTCATGGGCCATGACCAATGCTTGCCTCAGTGAATGTTTTTATTTCAAGCCTAACTTTAATGTTTATGAAGAACTTGCAAGCAGTATGAAAATGCTTCTGTGTAGACAAGGAAATCAAACATTATGGAGATTATCTGAAAGTCACAAGTAAGATTAGTATCACATTTGGAAGGTGTTTGTGCTGGCTGTTGTCTGAAAGGATGAATGTCACGTGTTGAGTAGGATGCAGTAATTGGCTCTGAAAAAGAACTAGCAGTGCTTTGCATTTCCTCATGTGATATTGGCTCTGATGTTGTGAACACTGGTCTCTGAAGGAGACCATTCTGTTGGTGTGCTTGTTGTTCCTGCCACATTGACATAATATTTATATAGTCTCTTGCAGTAACAGATTAGAGACTCACTCTGGGTTAAAATTAACTTGGCAAAACTGGTTTGTTGTAATCCGGACTAATTCCCTGATCTGGCTCACCTTGTGATTGTGCTTGTGACAGCATGAGGTGAAGGGTTGCACAAAGATTTGTGTACTGAGAGGCGGGAGCAGAGAAACTTGTTTTTGTCACCAGTGCCAGCCTAATAATTTTTTGAACGGAAACAGAAAAAAGTACCTAATTCTGCAATTTGCCATACAACTGTCTTTGCTCAGATAACAATGCTAAGAGTCTGTTACAGTACTGAGCAGTGGGAAATAGACTTCTCAATTCAAGATGGGTTTGGAAGAAAAATCTACTCTGTGCCTAGTTCATAGTCTCTGCTTTTTGGCCACTGTAATATCTGAAAATAACTGGTGGCGTAATGTCTGGTGTAGCTGTGAAAGTCTGTAAAAGACTAATAGGAAGTATAGGCCTCTTCAGAGGGCAAGTAAAAAATTCCTGTTGTTGGAATGTTGTCTCGTACGCTGGGTTTTGAGTGGACAAAACTGGAAGTCTGTACTGCTTTCCATATCAAAGCTTTGTGTTTGAAAAGTAAGGTGTTTCTGATTTTCGCATTTTTGCTGTCTTTAAATATACAGTTTTTCTGTTGTATAACTTAATCCTAACAAACATCCCTATCCGTAATTGCTGCTATTATTGTGTGTGGATCTTCGGGTTTTCTCTGAACTGTTAGTGCCTTTACTCTTCTTTTACCTGGTAGTATGTACCACCAGAAGTATGAGTTGGACTCCATATGTTCTTTGAGACTTTTTGTCAAATACAGATAAGTGTATAAATTTGTAATGGCTTTAGTGTGTCCTGTTTTATAATGGAAATCCTCACTACATAATTTTGACTAGCTTGAAACTGGACTATTACATTGGCAATATAGTCTGAAGTGACAGTAAGTTCATACTCATGTCAAAGTGACCATTACTTTGTTGCTTAAGTTGCCTCTCTTAACTTAGATCCTTCAGAGGAGAAAATCTTCTATTTGTGTTATGGACCCTAATGTTGTGAAGTGGCCTGACTGAGATCAAAGAAAATTTCCATGATGACTGGAATGTCAGATTTCTGCTATTAAGCAGAAATTAGAAGGCTGTTTTTCCCAGCCATTTTGGCTGAAGAAGAGCCAGCCAACTTTATTTCATTTTATATTGATTGTTTCAGCTGGATGGTTGAAGAACACTTACAGTTGTAAATGATACATATTCTGGAAAAAAAGGATCATTAAGTTAGTCTTTAAACTTTTCACAATTGACACAATGTCTTCCCTTATACCCTTGCTTATGCTCAGTAATGCAATGCTTATTTGGACTAAGGATCTCATATATATACACACACACACACGCATATATATGTATATATACATATGTATGTATATGTATACATGCATATGTATGTATATGGATACACATATTGAAAGTTTATTGGAAAAATGCTACTGAAACATTTGCCCTGCCAAGATTAAAGAATTTGTGAAAACTTTGTTTAGTAAATTTAGGTGTATGAGATTTGTGTTCATTTGATTGTTGGTTAATTTGATTGTTGCAAAGCCTTTATTTCTTCAGATCTAAAGCCTTTACAAAAGCTGTTAGCCATTTTTGGTTTGAGACTTGTTGCTCTTTTGAAATAGAACTATAATTGCAGAAGTTTGGAAGCATTCATTTGACTGAAGAAAATAAAGGTTCTGTACATAAAGACTAGTGAAGCGATAGCACTGTTTCTTGCAAAATACTGCACATTATGTACTATGTTTTCCTGTTCATTCCAGTGCAAAGGTTTGCTCTGTAGGATCTTTCCAACTGAAATATTCTAACCCAGTCCAGTTTAATATGTTCTCCTCGTTTTTCAATTCTTAGGTTTTGTAAATGTCATTTTACAAAAAAAAGTTTTGAGTCCTTATGTAAACTAAAACCTCTATTTAACTGGAAAATTGACATGCTGTTGAGTATTACATTAGGCTAACCTGCCTATTAGAAAAGCTGATGAGAGTTGCTGTCTGCTTTTTAGCTGCAGTATAGGAGTTTTAGTACTGTATCATGCTATTGGTTAAT